GCATCGCCCCGGATGCCTAGCTGGGCTCTACTACTCGCTGGATATCAGTAGCAACTAATATATCTCCCCGGGTAGGAGGATCAATAAGCCGATGCTCGCAGCAGACTTTCATTACGGGAAGTTCCGAGCCACATGCCAGCTTTGAGAGAATCGGTACAAGTAATATCTTGGATGGATGATTCGCCGATGACAGCAAAGGAAATAAAATCGGAAACAAGGAGTGACCCAGAACAGTCGAAGGTGCGTGATTATATCCTAACCGGTTGGGCGGACCCGGTAGATGAAAGTCTAAGAGCATTTCGCACCCAAAGAGATGAATTAAGTCTCGAGGACGGTTGCATACTTTGAGGCTCTCGAGTCATTGTCCCCAAACGGTAACGTCATACAATACTGCGGGAACTTCATATGAGACACCGAGGAAATTCAAAGATAAAGGCACTGGCAGGTAACTACATCTGGTGGCCGGGAGTCAATCAAGAGATAGAACAACTCTTACAATTGGGTACTGCCTGTAAAGAAAATAAATCATGTCCACAACCTGTGCCAATGTCTCTATGGAAATGGCCCTCGCGCCCGTGGGACAGAATACACATATACTTCTGTGGACCCATCGACGGCTTCATAGTTCTGGTTGTAGTGGACGCCCAATCCAAATGGACCGAAGCTCGTGCAACCACATACATGATTAAGTCGACCACTGTGCACATCTTAAAGAATATATCCGCTACACACAGTGTATCATGTACGGTAGTTGCAGATAACGGCTCGACATTTACCAGCGACGAGTTTGCACAATTCCTACGTCAAACTGGAATCGAGCAAGTTCTCTCGGCACCATATCACCCTTTCTCCAATGGTTTGGCAGACAGCGGTTGCGCTAATCAAACTGGGTGTGGTCAAACAACAGTCCGGAACTTTACAAGCTCGCCTGGACAAATTCCTATTACAATATCGCATTACGTCACACACTACCACGGATCACCCACTGTGTGAACTTCTGATGGGACGACGTCTGTGCACTCGGTTGGATCTGATTAAACCCAATCTGCATTAACAGTCGGTAGATACCAGTCTGTGATGAAGCAAAGCTACGACATGAAAATGAGAGATCGTGTGGTTGAGGCAGGCGACAGTATGTGTTAAACTCAGGCCAACGGATAGAAGTTGGATCCGAGGGATTACGAAATCGACAAGAGGTAGTGCAGTGGAAGCGGAATTGAAAGATGGGCGAATACTTCAATGTCACTTGGACCAAGTGCGACGACAGCCTGTGAGTCCTGCAGAGGAAAAATCAAATTGCCCATCGCTTGCACCCCTGAGAATAGAGTCAGAAGCACTGCCAAATGAAAACCACACTGAGCACCCAATACAACCATGAGAAGCGCAGCGTATAACAGTATGAAGCTGGATACACTTAATCTAGCGGTGGAGGACTGTTGTGATAGGCTATAACGAGCCACGGTCTGTTTAGTCATGCATGTGACTTATGTGTGTGAATAAATGTCCATGTTAGCAAGTGAACCAGTGATTTGGTCGTGTGTACACATTACAGTTGTGTCCTTTGCGTTTCGGTGTTCTTACTTACAATAATCAGGACTAACCAGCGATCAAACTGTGATCGGTGCATTTTTGAATGCACAAAATTGATCATGCCTTCGGTGGTGTGTCTCGTGTATAATATTATTATTCAAGGGAAGAGTTGATAAATTGGTGGCGGGTGTTTTTAAGTTGGTGTAGTAAAAAAAACGGTGAATTATCATGAGGGTGAGAGAATGAGCGTAGTTTCGTGGTTCCATGGTTCACAAGTAGGCGAGGTACTAACTGGTTGCCTAGACCGAAGTACGCAGGTTGTCTTGGGGGACCACTGCCCCGGGCCTAACCTACAGGGCAGCAGAGTGAGATAAGGATATCGCACCCGCTGATAGCCGGTGATTGAGTACTCAATATATACTTATTCCGGATGTTGAAAAACCATACCAGGAATCAAAAATCAAAGCCAGAATCCGATGTTCGAATTGCTTGCCAGTGTAAATATATCTGAGCAAGACAAGGAGCAGGGACGTTCTTTAGCAGTGAGTCACATCAGCCGCGTCACCGTGTTGTTGGGTAGAGATTTGTGGCTTTTATTGAGAGAACCCTTAGCAAGCGAAGACCCACGACGTCCAGGAACACTGCCGCCGACACATTCACAGGAACGGGAAATTCCCGAACAGACCAGCTAGCACCACGGGAAAATTGTTCTGCAAGGCAGCCAGGCCCGAAAGAGTCATTGATTGAACTCACTGTGCGTCGGCAAAGCCATCGGGAGTAGAATCATGAAAACAGGAACCTAGGGATATCACCAAACCAGTAACAAAAGTGGCAAACGGTACGTGCGTAGGTAACCGCACACCAAGCATGCCAGGCATATAACAAAAAGAAAGCAGGTGATGCAGATTCTATGGAGGGTACACTGTGGTGTCCCAGAGGATATGGGGCTAAGTGCTACCACGGCGTCCCAAACAGACATGTTCTATGCCTCACGGTTCAAAGGGAGTAATTGCTTTGCGATATAAACGCGCGCTGAAGATGGTTAGGATTGGTACAGTATCAATGGAAGCCCATGACCTCCGTGAAGTTTATCACTAATTGAGGTGGACGAAGAGACCGACATCCACACACGTGTGTGTTTACGGCTTGAGGAGTCTTATTAATATCACCATCAATACACGTTACCTGAGAGTGAGAAACACACCTCAGCTAATGTGCCGTAGTACGAAAAAGTAAGACATTAAGCAATGTAGACTAAAAAGCTATAAAAAGGTAGCATAATACGAATGTCATATTTTTCACGGTTGTTGGAGGAGAAATCTAAAGGAGAGGAGGATGGAGAAAGACACTCACAAAACAAATGCCATCGGGACAGGCTCCTAGCCATGTTAGCGAGTGTGGTCAACCAAACGTGTTCATCGTCCTTCGGGTCCCAGCCCGGCAGTCGGGATGCACCAACCGACGCCAACTTCGAAGTGAGGGTTTTCATTTCTCTCGACCAAGTCATCGCTTGACCTCCCCTCCTCTTCCAACTGCGCCATCGGCACGCAAACAACGCACGTCGCGGAAGTCGGTGGGATGGCATGCGTTCAACTGATAGGATTTCTTGACATATTGTCCAGCAAACTGGCCTAGATTTCATCCAACGTTCAACCCAGCCTTCCTCCCATTTAATTCCCTCTGACATCGTATTATCTCGTAATCCTAATTTTTTCCGAAGACACGACACCAACTGAGGCTAATGATCCACTGACCTTGCGCTCTACTAGCTCTTAAAACCCAGATAAATGTCCAATGGTTGAGGAGCGTTGAAAAGCTGCAAAACGAAGAGAAGCTTCCCACGACTGACCTACAATAGGCCAGGTCGAACAAAGCTTGAGGCCACCCTCTTCCTACAAAGACCACTTCAAGTGATAAAAAGTGATTAAATATGCTGCTTTTTCAAATACCTGAGTTCAACGATCCAAATCCTCAGACACGCTATGATCATTACGTAGGGTTTTTACAGGGCCTAGTCGGTAGGCTCCTCGATGTCATCATCATCATCGTCATCATCCTCACCATGATTCCACCTCGGTTGAGGGTGAGAAATACACTTAAGATGTTGTGCCGCAATACATAAGGAAATCCGAAAAACAATATGCTGAAAATTACAGAATGCAGGACAAAAGCAACCTCAAGTAACCTAGTGTGTGTCAAGAGTGAGATCGTGGTTGGATGGAGAAGACAGGCGGGATGGGGGGGGGGGGAAAGAAATTCATAACACAAATGCCATTGCGGCCGGCTCCTAGCCATATCAGCAAGTGTGTCCAACCAAACGTGTTCATCGTCCTTAGGACCCCAGCCCAGCAGTCCGGATGCACCAATAGACGCAAACATCGAAGTGATACTTTCATTTCTCTCGACCGAGCAATCGCTTGACCTCCCATCCTCTTCCAGTCGCACCTCCGGCACGCAAATAACGCACGTCGCGGAAGTCGGTGTCCTGGCATGCGCAACATGTGTCCCAGCCATCGGAGCCTGCAGCGTGATATAATGGTGCTGAGCGGTTCACTCACCCTTCCTGCACCAAATACGCGACGCCGAACATGCGCATTGCTCCCGCGATGCACCCACCAGATATGAGTTAAGCTGCAAAGGCAGTGATGATCGAACGCGACGAGGCTCTTTGTGTCTGTCGACCTGATGCGTCATGTTTCACAACCGCATAGGAGTTGAAAGGACGGCTGCATTATAAACTCTGTCCTTCAGGGCGAGAGTAATGTCACGCCGGTGCTACAGATGGCGGAGATTGGCAAAAGCACCTCGAGGTTTTGCTATACGGTTTCTGGTGTCATCTTCCGTTATACTGGCGCTGATATAGCTGCCCAGATACTTGAATTTCTCGCGCGCACTGTCTATAGAACGGGAATCTATGCGAAATTGACAGGCAGTAGTTTAGATTAGTGAGCTGATCAACAAATTCGCCAGACTACTTCATGATGACAAAAACTTTGGTGCGTCGACCTAAGAGCTAAACAGTACCTTGCGTATACTGAAGTGTTCACTGCTATGCATCAGTCTGCTAAGCAGCGCTTGCAAGCAGTTAGGTCCGAGTGTTGCATATATAATCCGAGCGCAGTAAAACCTCCATGCAATAAGAAGCAGATGGAACAGACGATGCGTTTGATAACAATTTGTAAAGGGGATGAGAAACAGCGCACCTTGGACGCAATACACTTGCGGAAGACTTCTCTTAAACCAACACACAGCCCCTAAATTGGTAATATAAAGAATCTACTACGGAAAATATCCGTAATATGGCCTAGCAACAATACTGCAGACGACTTCCGTTAGCCGAGTCGAAGAACATCAAACACACGGGCCAGTGGACAAAGTAAATTAAAACATGTAACCTCAAGCAAAGAATAAAGTTGAAAAATAGCGGTAAAATGGTTTTCATAAGGAGTCAGCGGACAGAAAAGACGCACGTGATATAAGCAGTACATGTCGAACTCGTCCTCAGGAACACAAAATTCCTCTGCAGCCAGACGCGTTGCCTCAAGCGCATTGGTTTGACGGCGCGGTAGGAGGACCAGCTTGCTAGAATGATCACGTCCGTTTTCGCTGGAACGCCAGACGCGGATCACGGACAATGTGGACTCGGTCGAGTGGGTGTGCTCAGGAGGATAGATCGGCTTACAATGTGGTGCCCCGATGTTAGAACCGGGGATGGGTAACTCAAGTGCCGTCAGGTCCGGTTGGGAAGACGAACGCTGCGACCGGCGCAACAGCTGTAAACTGCTGTTGTCGGAAGCCGCCAACTTTTTCGGAGCACCGGAACGCTTCGGTGAGCCTGAGAAATGTCGGTTTTCAGGCCAGTGCTGACAGTCCGATTGGACATATTGTGCAGAAGTCTGGAGAGAGCAGACATGGTGCACATCAAGAGAAATGCATCACTAGGAGAGTTGCTAAAGAGAACATGGGAATAAATTCCAATGTTTAGGATTGAGATGGATGCGGGATAAGAGTAAGCCGTACTGACTGCCACTAGACAGCGGCGAATTGTCTAAGAAAGGACTAGGCCACAAGTTCTGAAGGGAGAAGGATGCGATAAAAACATTGTTTGGGAGGTAGAAAAGAGATGAAGGCTACACCACGAGTTGGGATGATGAAACAAACTTGGTGAACCATTTGACACTTGAACAACCAACCCGAACTACCCTCATTGATTTTCGTCCTCTTGCTTTATCATGGACACTTGAACCGTGACAGTAGGAACCACTGAACTTCCATGACTGGAATACACAGTTGAGTAAGTGAATCAAAAGTAGTGTGGAGCAGCTCATCATCCCAAACAGCACCGAAAGAATGGATTAGTACCATAGTAGGAACCAGACGAGATATCACAGTCTAATGATGTACCTCACTCAGTCCCACCCACACATGGTAAGGGGAACAAAGCGAGTTTGAGCGGCTACGCACGCGATGAGTCGTTCAAGCTGACACCGACCGACTGTTGAAGGGTGTAGATGATTTATGGGAATTAGAGCGCATAAAAGGATGCACTGGAGCAATCCATACATGAAGTGAACGGAAGATCGGTCTGCTGGATTGAAGTTGCCGTGATGCCCGGGACGAAAAGAAGCCAATAAACGACTAATCATTAGGCCGAAATGGATGGTCTATGGAAATTTAGTCATTTATCAATTGAAAAACAACTGAGGTGCACACGATGCATTGTATAGTTATGGTACAATTAGCGTGGCAACCAAATTAAATGAGAGCCCAGCGAATTCAGAACAGTGAGTTACAAACGTGATTCGGTTGTTTACACTCACACACTGGAAGGGACGAAGATATTATGCACGCAAAAAAGTTGAGAGAATGTAATCCGCTGGAAGGTGGAGAGTTATAGTGATATACAGTATCGACTGTACAACAAGTGGCAGGAGAGATGTAAGCGAAGATGACTACGGTTCGTTGTTTTCGGACTATTAAACCGTAGAGAGGCGGGACGAAAATCTCTGTATTATGAGTATTGTCGGTTTTACCATGGAGCTAATACTTAACGGACAGGAGAGTAGTGGTAGGGTTCAACCAATAGAAGTAAGTGGTTCCGTCCACTTTGCTAAACAAAAACGGCTACAATGGTACGATACGAGGTGTTCTGTTCTACGGTCGTGAAACTTAGTCCATTCGAGCGAAAGATGCTCCAATTTGATCACCATTGCACATTACTAGCGAACCATGGCAATAACACAGTGTCGATGATGACGTTCATCGTTGGTCTTTGGAGTCGAACAAAATCCACCGACTGTTGAGTTGCCTAATTTCACTACACAAATTTAGGGATGTGCTACGCGTGTCTGCTCAGTGTTTTTGTTTCATCATACCCGCTTTGTATATGGCGCCGTTGGCTGGCAAGGCTTACAAGATAGCGCGCGTATGAATCGGGCTCAGACACAAGCTTCAAAATTGACCATCGGGATGCACGCTCGAATCTCGGGCAGGGGGCACGCTTGATCGAAAACCTATCAGGACATGGCAAGATAACGCACTCAATGGGGAACATGTGAGACCATACTCCTCTGGTCAAAGTTCTGCGGGATAACAAAGTATCGCTTACTAAGGTTTGTGGTGCGGAACAGGATAGCATGTCGCCGTGTCAAACAAAACTATTTGAGGAATGATATGAAGGATAGTTAAGGTATAAAAGGAAGAAAAGCGACGATAATTGTCGTAAAGGAGTTGATGTGGAGCGGTATTGGCCATTATTGAGGACTCGGAAAACTAGTTCCTTAAACCATTAAATGGATAAGGTAACTCTCGATAGGAAATCTGACACGCATGTAATCACGTGCAACAAAGACGCAGATAGTGACAATCAGGTGGATGAGCACGACAGACAATCAAGTTGTGACACGTCCTGTGACACTGTGAAATGTGTCATGAAACAAGCGCATCGGCTTCACGGACCGTTTAAGTTGGCATTTGCAGTACAAATTGCCGAATTTAGCCGATCAGGGGAAGAAAAGACGCAGGTTATGTGAATTAACGGAAGGAGATAGGAATATGAAGGATACGAAGGAGACAATGGAAGATAAAGTGAACTCCAGCAGAAAATAATGATGGGGAGAACAATAATGGATTGTAAGTGCTGGCAAAGACGCTAACGTAGAAACGGAGGAATAGCAATATCTACGCAAATATTCCTAAAGTAGGATGAAAATACGCGAAGATGGAAGGGGAGGATAATCCTGAGGTGGCATAGATAAAGTGTCAACGACAAGCCCATGTCGGGTTTACGCAGCGTTATGATGACCAACATACGCACCAAAAACCACAAATGCCACCAGAGTGGTACATGTAGTAAATAGGGTCGAGTTGAGTAAGCTCATCAATGTTGCAGTCAAAAACCAGATGCTGCCCACTCCTAACTATGAACTCCGTGACCCATTTCTGGCTTGCTTGCAGCCTACAAGTAAACACAGCCGAACTGCGAATCGAACCCAGGACGGATAGACTGCAGATTGATGCCACAACATCTACACCATGGAGTTTCGAAGTCAGCACCGGCCACAATGGATAGGGGCATAATGTCGGTCAGTTTGCAGACTGTAATCCACGGTGAATTGAACGTTGGTCCGTCTAATCACTGGGATAGTTCCTGGGGAAGATAAATGTTGGGTAATCATCACTCCGATTGGGCTGGTGTGTTGCAAATCATCTACACAGCGATTACTGCAACAAACCAAAGATGGGTTTTGGGGTGCTCACTGAGTGCGGATTGCGATACGCAATCTCAATTTGGACCTTGTTTCACCTCCGTCGTTCCTATCACTGGGACCGTATCTGGTGGAAAAAATGAAGTACTGAGACCTCCCCACACAGCAGTTCACCGTCAAGGTTACAGTCCCGTAGGAGATCTAAAACAGCTCCACCAGATTGGACTGTCAGTGCACATCCGAAAAAGTATTAAATCGCTCTCCCACCCTTTGGAAATTCCTCGGTAGTGAGCATTCCGTTTGCTCGGTGAAGCGCTACAGTCTGAGAACCTACAAGTACGTGAGGAGATAGAACCAATGGGCAACGAGGAATGAGGCAACCGCCGAGATCAAATAAAGCTAGTTATCGAGTCGACTTAAATCCTTAACCGAATGGTAGCTGAAGCGTCTAAGTATGGTATGTGCATTGCCCCATCCAAGTGTAAAGTGTCGTTACAGGATTGGCAATCGCTCCACCACAGCTCACCGTTGAAGGCATTCAGCTCGAACACATGGAAAGATTTAACTATATAGGGAGCTGCATTTCTGCCGAGAGAGTATCCCTCCGTATCGCAAAAGTCAGCATTTGTGGTGTCCTTGCGATATTTTGTCCGGGTTAGAAAGTAGGGACCACAGTGCCAGTGGTCGCGCGATACTGTCGTATGGATGCGAATCCTGGCCACCCCGTGTAGATGACATGCGTAGGCTCTCGGCCTTTGACAGTGACTGCGGAGAATCACCTGTGTATGATGTGATGAGGTCAGACACCGTGTCCTGGATAAGACGGGTCTTCCACCCTATGAGCTTGTTTTGTTACGCCAAATGACAAGGGTTGACCACGTCCTACGCATGTCTAACGAGAGTCTACTGCGCCGCGCTACATTTGCGCTCGCAAGGCGGCATTGGAAGAGGCCGTGTGGAGACAAATCGACCATTTGGAGACAGACCATGCAAACATTAACATCTTGCCTAGCGATCGCTGGTCTATACGTCCACCCAGTTGAGGACCCAAGAATTACAACGCTCCAAACAATGGCTCCAAACCGAATGTACTGAGAGCAATGCACGCAAGTTTGCGTGAATCCCGGAGGATAACTGACTTCCCAATAGTCACACAGCCACTCAGGTTCATCCGTAAAGGCACAGGCACATCAACTACGCGAAGATCGATGAAGAGAGAGGTGGAAACTCAATCACCGTCTTTGACCGAGGTCCACAATTAAAAGTGGTGTTTGCAGGGGCACCCGCTGCATACACAATTCGGTGCATTACCATGACTACAATGTGGGCTGAACGTTGTGCAGTCGCCTAACTCCTCATTTCTTGCTAGCAAATTGCTGATTTTCTGCTTAGAATGCAACGCGTCCAATTTAAAGTGATAATAGTATATATATATATATATATATATATATATATATAGACCGAATTTTATTCACAAGTTAAGGCTACTGAATGGATCTGTCCGCACAAATGCGGGCATGCTCGGTCTTTGGATAGACTGATAATTCCCCGAGCGAACAGTCGAGGTTCGCTCGTGGTTGTAGCAGTGAAGCGTAGAAGCCATGTGTTTCTGCGAAACTGCAACCATTAACGGTTGTAAAGCTGAAGCAATGATAGGAGCAGAGAGTGGTCAGACGTGCCGGCATTATTGGCGCGTGGACGCTGGCGGTTACATCATCAAAAGAAGATATGGCACGGAGATAAGAGGGAAACAGGGAACTTATGCGGAGGAGGAATTGAGCAGTGCGTGCTTGCCAAACAACTTAGGTGGGCGGTCTATCAGGCAAGCTGATTACTCTGAGTTAGCAGAAGTGTGTTCTGGTAGAAAGCGCAGAGCGAAGGGAAAGCGTTTGTTGGCGACAGTGTGATAGATTTGTAAAGAAAAAGCCCTAATGAAGTGAATCTGAAACCGAAGATAAGCAGTTAGTTAATATTAAAGCACATGGCTGCAAAACAACAGCGATGAAGAATCGAGATCACCTCTTGTTTTGCGGGCTATCCAGTGTTAAAAACGACGATGGGTTGGCAGGAAGGTCTCCAGAGAGCAGAAAGATAGTACTCCGCAGCAGGCCAATACAAATATCGAAGTGGGTCAGTTGTACGATAAACTCACGAGTGTTGGAGATGAACAAATACGTTTCGCACGACCT